ACAGGTGTGGTACCTGCAAAAAAGTATTTACCTCTTTCTCTCTCTCCTGCTTAGTGCATTGCCTTGCACAAATTCAATTAATGTTCATTGATGAAGACTACTGCTGAAATGACAAAGGAGAGAATAGATTAAGTAAGACAATCAACAAAGAGAAAATAGCAAGAATGAAAACCATTTCTAAAAGATGAGGTAGGATTGTTCATTAGAGCTGATTCTCAAATACTGTCTAAAGCTCTACGCTTCTCTGCAAAAAAGAAAAAATGGAAGTTTCTCTAATTTTAGCCATTCACCTCTCCCTTCCTTCAAAGCACTTAAAATTTAATTCCTGGATTAGCTTCATCTTGATTCAAGGATTTCAATCATTCAAGTAATCTAGTCTACATGTTAGTGTAGCTACATGTTATTAATGTCACAGCACCTGATATTTCCTCTGGAATAGAACGTCCTACAGTTATTTTAGTTGTTTATTTAAATGTCTGTCTACCCAGAAAAACTAAGCTTTTAATAAGGCTATAGCCAACTCTGTCTTGTGTCTCTTATACCAGAGTGTGGGGCACCCAAGAGACACTGAACAAATATTTTTTGATTGAGTGAATAAGTGAATGGAGGCTATATATGTACTATATCATTGGTTTTTATTTAAAAATCTAATCACTAGCTAATTCTTGGTGGTTTTTCTATCTTCCCAGTAGATTCTACGTTGCTCTAGAGGCAATCATCTAATTTGAATAAAACCATAATATCCTGTGGCACTTAAATATAGCACACTTCACTGATAGGAAAATCCTAAAATTCAGAAATAAAGATGAAAGAAATTAAAGAAGAGTTGGTGATGATACTACTCAAAAGAACCAAGTAAATATAATGCAAGAATAGGACATAATAAGCAGAATTACACTGTGTATATTACACGTATTATCCATCAATGAGAAGCACAATTTACTAATTTGATGCCAAATTAAGAATTTATTAATGTCTGATGGGCATTAGTTTATGGTCAGGCAAGTACTAAAATGATAAATCGAATAGCAATGTAATTTTTTTCTATCACTAGAACCAAGGGTCTTCAACTGATATATCTATCTATATGTATATGTATACCTATATCTATGTCAATGTCTATATTTATATCTATAGTACATGATCAATCATCTTCAAATCAAATATTAATATATGCCTACCTTGCTTATGTTAGATACTGATGACACAAACTAAGAGAATTTTGCCCATGCTTTTAATTTATACTATAGTCAAACTAAAAGCATAGTTCAATAAATACTTGGGTTTTATTTTATTTTTCCAATTCAGTAGTTTGTGGCTTTTATTTGCTTTGTTTGGAAATTCCTAAAATATTGTTATGAATGTTTAATATTGTATAATATATCAAAACTGAGCAACAAATATTTCACTATTAATCATAATAACAATAATAGCTAAACTTTACTGAGTTCTTACTACTTTCAGGCACAATTATCTCATTTAATTCTTATAATAAATCTATAAGGGAGATACTATTATTGTTCCCACTTTACAGAGGAAGAAACCAAAGCACAGAGATTGATTAATGTAAACAAGTTCACATAGCCAGTTAAGAGGCAGAGTGTGGACTGAACCTATGTGGTCTGACTCCAGAGTTCATGTACTCAAACACTATGCTAACATAGTTTATATTTCTCCTATATTAGTTTCACATAAAATGGATAAATTGCCCTCTGAAAATAAGAGTGAGAAACAAACCCTATTATAAATATGTATCATTAGAACTCCAGAGAATGAGGCAAGGCAGTTGGTTCTTAATTTCTCTGATGAGAGGTGTTCCTGTGCTCAGAAATCTTGTAATCCAAGTGGGCAATCGAAACATATATCTAAAGAAAACAATATACTGTGGCATAAGTGCAAATGAGGAGTATACATAGGACTTGCTAAGAAAGTCGAAGAAGTAATTTCTAAGTATTGGGCCATTCATAAAAGTCTTAATGGAAGAGATAGGTCTTAAAAGAGGGATAAAACTTATAGAAGAAAAGAACTAGGGTGTTATAAGTAAGGGGAACCATTGTAACCAAATTATGGATCATGCACAATGAAAAGAGACAATTGTTTAAATGTTTCACGTAAGGAGGTAATAGGTGATGAGGCTGGAACAGTAAGGATGCTATTGGGGAGGTAACTGAATGCCAGGTTAAAGAGTTAGGACTTTATTTTCTGGACCTGCCCTTCTCAATACAGAATCTACTAGTCACATGTGGCCATTGACCACTTGAAATGTGGCTAGCCCAAATTGAGAAGTGCTGTGTGGGTAAAATAGCACCTTTTGAAGACTTAGTAGGAAAAAAGAACATAAAATAGGTCATTAATAATTTTTATATTGATAACATTTTGAAATGATCATATTCTGGATATATTAGATTACATAAAATATATTATTAAAATACATTTCACCTTGTTTCTTATATGCCTAATGTGGCTAGAATATTTGAAATCATATACATCGCTTGCACTTGTGGCTTACATCATATTTCTATTGGATGGTACTCTAGAAAACAAAAAATGAAGGAAGATTAATGAGCAGAGATTCATGTTAAAAATTGTTTTAAGAAGTTTGTTCTGAACCAGGCACAATGCCTGTAATCCTAGCACTCTGGGAGGCCAAGGAGGGAGGATTGCTGGAGGCCAAGAGTTCAAGACCAGCTTGAGCAAGAGCAAGAGCAAGATGCTGTCTCCTCTAAAAATAGAAAAATTAGCCAGGTGTGGTGACATGCAACTGCAGTGCTACTTAGGAGGCTGAGGCAAGAGAATCACTTGAGCCCAGGAATTTGAGGTTGCAGTGAGCTATGATGACACCACTGCATTCTAGCTGGGGTGATAGAGAAAGATTCTGTCTCAAAAAAACAGTTTATTTTGGTATAAATAGACACACAGATAGACTTAAATGTCAGATAACTGATCTGGTTTTTCAATAACAATGACAATAGAAAAACTCCAAGATTGTAGTAAAGAAGTGGGTCTTCTGTATTGTTTAAAAGATATTTAAGAGACAGAACAACCAAATGCAATGTATAAACTTTGGATCCCAATTCAAGCAAACCAACCACAAAAAGACATCTTTGAAACAACTGAGAAATGTAGGGTCTAGATATTAGATGATATCAATGAATTATTGATAATTTCAGTCGAATAATGGCATTATGGAAATAAAGGAAAGTTGGGATGTTTTAGGGATGCAAACTAAACTATGTAGAGGTGAAATGACAAAATACTTGGGATTTTCTGGAGGGGAAAATCTATTTCTATTTCTTACTTTCCAAACCCAAATAATAACAAAAGGAATAAAAGAGATGACATAGTAACCTAATGGAATAGTAAATCAAAATAAAGTGCTTTTGTTGTAAAAACTGGAGTACCTCAGCATATCTATCTATACAAGTGCAGAGGGGGAAGTTTGAGAGCCAATGCACTTCAAGGGGCATCATTCTGATAGTACTATATAGGAAGGTATTCACAGCAACACTAGTAGCACTTAATTCTGTTACTTTAGATCAGGCGTCCTCAAACTACGGCCCTCGGGCCACATGTGGCCCACTGAGGACATTTATGTGGCCCAGGTGTTTTTGCCGCTGCTGCCTGTCCTGCTTAGCAGCCAACTGGTCCCGGGCCCACAGTGTACTTGTGTGGAATGTGCCCTGCCCTCTCCAATGGTCCTCCGAGGGTCTGAGGGACAGTGAACTGGCCCCTGTTTAAAAAGTGTAAGAACCCCTGCTTTAGATATTTCCATAGGGGTACACAGAAGGTATGATGAAGCCAGGACTAAAACCAGATCCTCTATTAATATAATGCCTTTTATGCCTGCCTGTAAACATGATAAAATCCTTTGGAGGACCTAATCTATACTTTAATCTTTAGATTTTTTTAACTCTCCCGTATCACTCAGTTACTCTTTATAGTTCATACCATCATTAAATAATCGAGCATATTAGAATATTTTATTGATTCTGTTTATCTTGACTGCTTCTCATACTGAGATTTGGTAGAAGAATGATTTTTTAAAAAAGAAGGAAAACAAATCTAAACAGTAACACCAAAACCACTTTATAACATACCCAAGTGAAATTTATGTCTTGCTGCCAAAAACTAAGATGTAATTTTCACCTCAGGGTACAATGCATAGAAGAGAGGTCAATGTAAAGTAAGCAGCACTGAGAAGAGGTAATAACGGGGAACAAAAATGGAAGAAGGGAGAAAAACCCAGCGGCCGCTGCCACCACCACCACCACCACCACCACCAACAACAACAACAACAAGGACAAACCGTAACAGTACTCATTTGGAGTACCTCCTAGCTGCTTCAAAGGAAAGCAGTCCATTCCATTCCTGTAAGCTTGAAAAACAGCACAGCTGCCCTGGGAATATGTAGACTTGCTAAGAGTCCCTGTTCTGCTGCTACTCAATCAGCTATTTGGCCTTGAACCTTGACTTGTTTCCTCATCTCTCAAGGGAGAATATAATAGCACCTGCTTCACTGGGTTGACGTGAAAGGGAAGCAAGATAGCAAATGTGAAAAGATTTTGGAAAGTTTTTATTTTTTTAAATTCTGTTGCTAAGGTCTAAAAGAAATAATTCGGTTGAAAATGTTTTGCAGAAAACAATATTAGACTGAAAAACACCTCACAAAACCTAGCCCTAGTTGGCGTAAGTTTTATTTCCTTAATTTTCGAGTGAGAACATTCTAAGGGACTTCAGGGACAAGGATGAGATCAGATCTCCTCAGCCTTTTCATATCCTTCCCTCTCTTCCCCAATAGTTCAAGCACCACTCAAAAAGATTAGGAGTAGCTGAGGGTAGGGTAAGCGGAGGAAGCTTTGAGGAAGGTTTTAGCCTGGGATGGGATGGGAATGCTCGCTGAGGAGGAGGAGAGAAGCGATAGTCGAAGAGAGGCAACAAGGAAGAGTTAGAGCGAAGCGAAAAACGCCTTTTTCCACAGTGGGGTTCGGGCATGCACTTACTGCTAGTAAACTCCAGCGAAGAGCTGACCAGTTACCATAGCGACCGCGTCCCGGTGGGCGGAGCAGCATTTCCGATCAGTGCCTCTGCTACAGCGTCTCGACTAGAAACGCGTTCACGTCAGAAATGACTTCCGGCGGAAGAAGCAGCCTCTTCCGAGTTCTGGCCGACCGCAGGCGAGAAGTGGGCATCGGTAGGTCTGATAGCATATAAAGACCGGTGAGGGTACCCACCGATGAGAGTAGGAGCCAGCTGTGATTGTGGAGGATTCCAAAGTCCCGGTCTTGGGGAGGACGCGGCTGTCTCGTTAGGGGTATAGTTGTGGGAAGAAGTTGCTTGATTTCTGCGGTTCCTGGTTGTTTCTCTTCTGTAGCGTGGAGGACCGGGTCATCCTCGAGTAGAGAGTTTCTGAGGCTATTTCTTTGCGAGGTCTAAGAGCGTCTCCAATAACAGGGTGACTCGCTCTTTATCCGCCCGTGCTGACGTTATTTCGCGCGTTATCCTTTCCAGGTAATCTGGTAGAAAACAAGTAAACTGGAAAAATTCAGAATGAGTGTCCCCAAATTCATTTTAATTCTTTGATGATCTGTTTAATTTTTTTATTCGTTCATTTTGTAAATATTTATTAAGCTCCTCTAGTGTGTTTAGTGAGTGCTTACTTGTATGCCAATTTTTCCATGACTAGCAGAAATACCTTCTTAGAGGAAATTCCTTTTTTGACGCTGTTGTTTATTCATTAATTTAAGATACAAGGACATACCGTGAAATATCCAACAGATTTTTCATACTTATCTGTATACTTAAACATGGAATTCTTGGGGTTTTTTAAAGGAAAATATATGCTTCCTCAGATTTGCATTAACATAATTTACTCAAGAAAATATTAAAGAATTTAGAAAAGCAGTACTTGATTTTTTTTAGATACATGCAAACTGTAATTAATTGTTATTAATATTTCTATTCAGCTGATCTGAGAAGGCCCACTTGTTCAATGGATGATGGCACTTGAGCAGATACCAAAAAAGGATTGGTACAGTGTACTGGGTGCAGACCCATCTGCGAATATGTCAGACCTAAAACAAAAGTATCAAAAACTCATATTGATGGTAAGTCTTTTCTGTTAGACTTAAAAAAAAAAAAAATAGTTTTTAAATGTGATCATAAAGTTAGGTTTCCAAAAAAATATATGATATCAATCAATGGCATGAATGAAGGTACTAATTTGATTAAATTGATAGTTTCAGTAATATTGCAGAAAAACTGTATATGAGGTGGGACAGCATGAAGGAGAAGGAGGTCTGAGTCAGGCTGATTGAGTTAGAATCCTGGCTCTACCACTATCTGTGAGAACTTGGATAAATTACTTTCCCCTGTATGTGCCTCAGAGAAGATTAAATAAATACACATGATGAAATGCTTAGGAGTATTGTTACAAAATGAACATTTGAAATGTGGCTAGTATTAATTGAGATGTGCTGTAACTGTAATATATACATTGGATTTTGAAGACTTAGTACAAAAAAAGAGTTTAAAATAACCTAAAACTTTTTCATGTTGATTACATGTTGAAATGATAATATTTTGGTTATACTGGCTATTTTGTATATTATATACATAATATCTGCATGTATTTGCATATATTATCAAAATTAGTTTCTTTCTGAACTGTTAGATTCATTTTTCAATCTACATTGTGATGTTTCTTAAGGCATTGTCAGTAACTCTCTAATGGTGTCTAGTTAACTCAGCTTACAAAAAGAGTAATTTATATAGCATTTGTTGTTTCTCTAGTTTATACCAAATACGTAGATGAGACTTTGCCAAAACTGGTGTTCATTGTGAGAGACATTGGATGTTTCACCATTAGGAATGTACTAATATTCCACCCTTAGTTAATAAGTTGGACAAAATGACTTTAAGGTATATTCCGTCTCAATTTTTAAGATTTCTGTCAGTAAAATCAAGTAAATTTTTTTGAAAATTTTCCTAATAAGTCATCCTTGTACCGCAGTTAATTGGGAAAAGGCTAGACCCAGTAGACTGGGTCTAGATCATGCAGGTCCTTGTAGGCCATGTTGGCCTTCAACTGGGTAATGAAAAGCCATCTGCACTTTACTTACGTGGTAGCATCTGACAAACTCCAAAGCAGATAAACCATTTTATGCAGTGCTAGCACTATATCAGAGAGTTTTAGTTGCTCTGCCTCTTTGCCAACATTTGATACTATTAGTCTCTTTTATTACAGCTGCTGGAGTTTCTCAATTTTGCCACCATTGATATTTTGGGCAGGATAATTCTTTGTTATATGAGCTGTTCTGTGCTTTGTAAGATGTGTAGCAGCATCCTTTTATGCCAATAACAACCAAAAATGTGTCCTTTGGTGTCCTTTGGTGTCAAAATTGCCACATCCCATTGAGAATCACTATTACTCTACTGTGTTTATAGTGATATCTCATTATGGGATTTTTTTTCCTGTAATGACTAATGATGTCGAGCCCTTTTTAATGTATTGGCCATTTATATACTTTTGTGAATTGTCTTTTTAAAACAAATATATTCTTGATCCTATATATATTTTGTGTATATTTTCTCCTAGTCTGTGGCTTACCAGGTCATTTTTCTAATAGTGTTTTTTGATGCACAGAGTTTTTTGTTTTGGTGAAATATAATTTATCAATTTTTGTTTTAGTGCTTTCTGTGTCTTCTCTAAGGTCATGAGAATATTCTTCTAGAAGCATTATAGTTTGCTTTTACCTTTAGACTTATGATTTTTGTGTATAATGTAAAATGAGAGGTCATATTTTTATTTTTCCTCACTGTGGATATCCAGTTGTCCCAGCATTATTTGTTCAAAACATTTTCCTTTTCCATTGGATAGTCTTAGCAATATGGGTCTATTTCTGAACTTAATTTGTTTGATATATTTGTTTATCCTTTTACTCATACCTTGGTCTTCATTACTGTAGGTTTATAGTCAATCTCAAAATCATGTAAAGTAAGTTCTCTAATTTTATCCTTCTTTTCAAGTTAATTTTGATTATTCTAGTTTGCTTGTATTTCCATAGAAATTTTAGAATCAACTTGTAAATTTCTGCCAAAAAAAATCTTGCTTGAGTTTTAATTGGGATTGCATTAATATGTATCCATTTTGGTAATGTGGACATCTTAATAAGATTGAGTCTTCAAATCCATAACCATGCATGTTTCTACTTAAGCTATCTTTAATTATTCTCAGCAATATTTTATAATTTTCAGTGTGGAGATCTTATACTTTTTTTTTGATTTCCAATTATTTAATGTTTTTACTTTCATTGAGAATAGTATTCTTTTACAATTTTCATTTTCTGGTTGATTGACAGTGTATAGAATTATAGACTATTTTTATATGCTGATCTTGTATCCCACACCTTGGTAAATTTACTTTTTAATTCTATTAGCTGTTTTTGTTTAGATTTCATAGACACAATTATGTCATTTGCAAATAAAGAGAGCTTTAATTCTGTCTTTCCAATCTGTATGCCTTTTATTTCTTTAACGTACTACGTAGGTGCTTCTATTAAAATGTTCAATTGAAGTGTCAAGAGCAGATATCCTTGACTTGTTCCCAATTTTAGGGAGAAAACGTTTTCAATGTTTTATCAATAAGTATCTGGTTAACTGTATATTTTTAAAGATGCCCTTTGTTAGGTTGGGGAAATTCTTCAAATTTATACTCTGCTAAGAATTTTTATTATAAGATACATGGATATTGAAATTTGTTAGATGCTTTTTGCATGTATTGAATTTTACATTTATTGATTTTCCTCCCTTAATCTGTTAATGTGGTGAATTACATAGATTTTTCTTAAGTCTAGATTGCATTCCTGGGTAAACAAACTTCACTTGTTCATGAAGTATTATGCTTTTTATATGTTGTGGGAGTCTAGTTACTATTACTTTGTTAAGCATTTTTATGACTAGGTTCATGCTATGTATTTGTTTGTAATTTTCTTCTCTTGTAATGTTTGTGTCTAAATTTAGTATCACAGTTATGCTGGCCCCATAAAATGAATTGTGAAATGATCCCATTTTCTCTCTTTTCTGGAAGAGTTTGTAAAAGATTGCTATTTTTTTCTTACTTGTATGTTTAATAGAATTCACTAGGAAAGTCACCTGAGCTTGGAGATTTCTTTGTGAGAATTTTATGGCTATGAATTTAATTTCATTAAAGGATATAAAGCTTTTAACTTGTCCATGTATTATGTTTAAACTGTATTTTCTTGTATATAGCTTGTAATTGAGACTTTAAAAATAATTCCAGTCTGTCAGTCTTTGTCTTTTGTGGGAAATATGTAGTCCATTTACACTTAATGCAGTTATTAACAATGCTTGCATTTAAATGTGTTTGTTCTTTCATTCTTTTTTTATTTTTCTTTCCCTTGCTCCCTCTCTCCCTCTATCTCTCCCTCCCTTTCTTCCTTCCTTTCTTATTTGTCTTGTCTGCTCTTTGTTCTTCTTTTCTTCCTTTCCTATCATTTTTTGGGTGAATCAAGTATTTTCTAGTATTTAATGTTATTTCCTCTGTTGAATTTTTAGTTAAACCTCTTTGTGTGTTTTTTAGTGATCGTTCTAGAGATTACCATATGCATCTTTAAGTTAGCACAGTTTACCTTCAAAAAACATCTTATTATAGAGTTAAGAACTTTATAGCATATACTTCCACTTATCACCTCTGTTCCTTTCTTGTTTTCATATATTTTACCTCTATATATGCTATAAACTCTCTGGTGTATTGTTATTATTTTAAATATTTCTACTCAGTGTTCTTTTAAAGAGATTTATTAGCGTGTGTGTGTTTGTGTATGTGTGTGTGTTTTGTCATATTTACCCTTCTTGATATTTCTGTCTGGTATTGTTTTCCATTGGTCTATGATATTTTTCTTTCTTTTTGAAAGCTATTCTCTATTTCCACTGGATAGAGAATTCTGGATTGACAATTTTTTTTTCTTTTACAGTGCTTGTGTTGTTTCTGATGAGAAGTCAGCCATAATTCATATCCTGTTCCCTTCTTTTTAATGTGTTTTCTTTCCTTTGGCTGCTTTCATGCTTTTTGCTTTATTTTTTAGTTTTTTGTAGTTT